TGGGGGGGGGGGGGGGACTTTAATTTTTTTCCCCCCACTAAACTTTATTGCTATCACATACAGGGGATAATAAAACCCACCTATGTGATAGCAAAATATGTGACAGGACCGCGGAGGGGGTGGGACACACCGATCGTTACCCCATACAAGCAATCCGCCGGATCGCTTGCATGTTAACAGGCATCGCTGCCTGTTTTTAAATATCGGGCATAATAATAAAACCCACCTATGTGATAGCAAAATATGTGACAGGACCGCGGAGGGGGTGGGACACACCGATCGTTACCCCATACAAGCAATCCGCCGGATCGCTTGCATGTTAACAGGCATCGCTGCCTGTTTTTAAATATCGGGCATTGCCCAGCGGCATTGCCCGCTCAGATCTAGAGGGCTCCCGGTCGGCCGTTTTTTTTACAAAAGTTGGCCGGGAGGTAATTAAAGAACTCTGGGCATTCCCTAGCACGGCAAAGGGTTAAGTGGTCATTAGGAGAAAAAAAAAAAAAGGAGATATCCTCACCCGATCCTCAATCCTGCCTGGCTATTAGATCGGTCCCCGCAGACTCTTCTCCCAACAGCTCCAGTGGCCTTAGCCCCAATGAAGTCCTCATGTTGAACACAAGTCCATTGACTTACATTGGACATGAGAACGTCATAGAAAATAGCTGGAGCAGGGGGAGAGAGGCAGATCGAGGATCATATGAGTATATCTTTTTTATTTTAGACCCTAGATCAAAACAAGCACATAACCTTTGCAGTGTGGGGATAGCCCCACTGCAAGGGTTAATATGTAATTTGCCTGGAGTTCTTCTTTAAGAGTTGGCAGGTCAACCAATATTTATTAATTCCAGTCTCCTATTACAGTGAGCTACAGCTGGGGAAAAAAAAAAAAGCACAAGGCATTTCCACCTCTTATGGGAGGTTATGGAAGATCTAGAGGCTGCTTAGAAGGAGTACTAATTAATTACATAATGCATGCATATAAGTAACCACTGGAATGTAATATATATTTGTTAGTCCTTTAACTTGCATCTATCCATCCAAAATTCTCACTGAAGCCCAATCACTAATAAAACGGGTAACCCCTCCAAATTCTGTGTACATGGACAACCCAAATTAAAAAATAACACCTACAAATATATTTAAAACTAAGGCTGCTTAAATGTGAGAAACTGAAATAAGCCCCACAAATTGGTCCTCTCTGCACCACCCTGCTTGTCATACCTTTGGGGGGAACCATTGTTTCCCCCCATCTGCCGCCTGTGCACAATCCATACATGGCACTGCAGCTCTGTACTCTGTATATAGAATGTTTGCAAATGGCAGCACGGTCACAATTGACCAATGAGAAGCGCTTCTTGCTAAAGAGCACTTCTCATCCTCCAGCAATCCCCACACATACCACCAGTCAGCTGCTGATACAGGAAGTCTCCCATCACTAATAACTTATTTGCATTAGATCATGTGACAAGCAGAAGCCACAAATAAGACATTAGTGAAGGCAAAGCACATTGCTGTGATCTGTGAGATTGCTGCAGGTTAGATGAGATCAGTAGATCTGTCACTAAATACCTGGTCTGACCTAGGGTTAGTGTAGATTCTTTGGGATCAGTCAAAATGGCAACGATACCTGATGCATGTGCAGTAGAAGCAGGAACGTAATAATGTTGTGTCGCTACTACACATCCCTTCTATTATTGACATTTAAATATAGATCAACACCATTCACAACAGGAAGCACATCCAGAGTGGGCCCTGCAGCAGATCAGCCTGTGCAAAGAACATGGCCTTGTAACTTCTGGCCATGTCAGCTTTGATCACCTCCCTACCCCCTGACATCTGCTGAGGCATACATAGGCACTAATCTCTGGCCTGGCAAATAACACCACAAACCATAGTGCTGAAACAATTTCCCCACCTGCTGGTAATATTTATATACCACTTTTTTATTACTAAACATAATAAGGAAAGCACTATGCATTCTCTTTAACTCCTGAATAATTAATTAGGGTACAGAGGGTGTGATATCTGTCTGACATCCCCTTTTTAATACATGTAAAACTCATACTGTATGTCTAAATACATCACAAACATGTACATTGCAAGTGCACCACATTTTATACATACATTTTGAGCCATTACCAAACATACCTTATATATAAAAATGATAGGAAATTAAAAATTTAACAGTTGCCACTGGAGCTGAAAATCTGAAACTTGTTCCGATGACAACTAACCAAGAGGCAATTTCCCTTCACTTGAGAGATTTCCTCTAGTCTTCAGGACAGAAAGTGAAGTTATATCTCCCCTATGGTGCACAGAAGCCAGGGAAAATAAAACCTGGCAGGGTTTTTATACATTTCCAACTCTATCCGAAAAAAAAGAATGCATACAGGTTGACTAAATAGTAACCATTATGTTGGGATTTTTGAGGTGCAACAAGTATCATGTACAATGATCTATTAAAATATATAAAGAAAATGCATTATTAACAATTTAAATAGTCAGTCATAAAATTAGTAGAGTAGTATTAGTAGTGGTAGTGACACGTTTCACAGAATAATATCGGCTTCATCAGAGGTTACTGTATTTGGAGATACATATTTGCATCCAAGGACAGGCCATGCTCCATCTGCACCCTACGGCTACCGCCAGGCATCAAAAATTGTCTGATCCAGGGACAATAAAGGAAACGAGAAGGCCCAGAGAAAGATTTGGAATCCACGTAGCCCCAGCTCTGAACAGTGCATTTGCTGATCCTAATTGCTTGGTTTGCCTATGTGGATGCCAGATCTTTCTCTGGGCCTTCTGGATTCCCTATTGTCCCCAGATCAGACGATCTTTGATGCCTGGCGGTAGACGGAGGGTGCAAATGTAGGATGGCTTGCCCTTGAATGCAAATATCACCAAATACAGTAAAGTCTGATGAAGCAGATTTTATTCTGCAAAACGTGTCACTACCACTAATAATGGTTTTCCGCTGCAATACAGTAACACGTCTAGCTCTCATCTTGGACACCTATACTTATAGGATTGAACGGCGTGTAATATTACGTTGAATTTTGAAACTCTGCATAGATACAACGATGATCTGACGTTGGTAGAAGTATATTTAGCTGGTTTATTTGTCTACATACTGATTTTATGACTGACTTTTTAAATTAATAATACAAATGTATATATATTTTAATAGATCATTGTAGAAGGTACTTGTTATACCTAAAAAACCCCGACATAATGGCTACTATGTAGTCAAATTGTATGCCTCCTGTTTAAAAATCCGATCACTGATTGTGTCAGTTATGGTGCTGCTGCAATTATTAACAAAAAAATAATGGAAGATATACTTTAAGTAATTCACATTCCATGAAACACTGCAAAAAATGGCAACCATTATCATTTACTGACCTTTGCGGCAACAATACTTAGACCCATGCCATTCTGCTTCTTCAGCGTCACAGTGATTATTTCAGGGTCTTTTCTTAAAGTCTAAAAAGCAACAAAAACCAGTGATTAATAATTTTAACTGGGAAGTAATAAGGGGCTAAAGAAAAATGTTTCTGTTGTGTATAAGCAGTTAAAGATTTAACTACTAACAATTCCCCAGATCACCCTACAGTGTTAATGAATAAAAATGTAATGAATTAAGGTTTTACTTATGTATTTATATTAAACACTCACCCAAAACAAAAAAAAGGAAGGAACAAACAATCATTAGTGACAATGATACAACAACCCAACAATAATACATTTGTATATTTTTTCACGGTGGATACTGTTAAAAAAAACATTTTCTAAACAGAGGCAAGACATTTCTAAGAGTGTATTCATAGAATAAAACATACCATATCAGCACTCTCACTTAGCATATGATTCTCATAATCAGCACCTTCAAAGAAAATAGTCCATGTCCCAGGTGAACGGGTATGAGGAATAAGTCTGCAGAAGCCTGTGGAGAAACACAAAGAATAATGTGAAGGCCCTTTCCATCCACTAAAATGTAGGAAATTGACAACCTTTCCAACAAAATATTCAACATTTCCCATTTCAAGATGCTATGCTTTTATTCTTAAGACCATATTTATTGTTGTATCTTTTTTGCCACAAACACCCATACAAATAAAAAAAAATGCATTTATATAATTACGCCAGTGTTGCATACACAATTCAATTACAGTATCAGATACTTTATTATTCATCAAGGAAAAACATAACCATTACAGGGTAGGCAGGCATCATCAAACTACCAAACCCATAAAAATTACCATTTAATGGCTAACAATTAAGCATAAAAAAAATAAAAAAAAATAAAATAAAAATATTCTAGCACCGTTAAACCAACCACCAGAAAGCAGGGTTAGTGCTGGAAAAAAATTCTATGACCTCAGACCAAAATCAGTACACAACTAGACATTCCCAGAAGAATAAATAAAATGTGTGTCTAAATCTTGGTATTTGAAGCAGGTATCTGTAGCCAATCTTTTCATGCTGGATAGTGTTAATGCAGTATAATAAGTTTGGTGGAGGTTGTTGGGAAGTTAGCTCTGGCTCCCGGCTCCTCCTCTGCATCCTAGAACCTCTGTCATTCCCCAAGCACTTGGTGTTTGGTAAGTGGCGGGTCCTCATGTTGCTGGGGTGCCTTATGGCTATTGGGATGGTCACGATAACAGTGGTTTATGAATTGCTTCTAATAAATGTTTCAAATATTTTTTTGATGGATTAAAAAAGTAGTTATATCATTATTATCAGGCTAGTTACCTCTGGTCCCCTGAGGAAACAAACAGCGAAGCGCATCGGGATCAACACCTGACACTTAAGTCAGCCAGAAAGATCACAATTTTGGACTATTGCCTATATCCCAACACAAATCTGGATATGTATACATTGCTATTTTTGGTATTTCTGTATATCTTCTGGTGGCGTATCAAGGTGAATCTTATGGGGGAATCTATGTTTTTGATAATTTCATTTTTATCTAATTTATGTATGAATGTGTTTTCCGGGAATTTTTTTTTTTTTTCTCACGGCTTCAAAATTTCCGGAAATTGTACATCTCTACTCCGTACCTAGTCTTGTTCTGTGTTCCAACAATGAGCCCAGCACCACTGGGAGTTTCCTAGTGCTTCCTGGCTCTAGAATGGAGGAGGAACAATCTCTTGGCCAGTCATTTTATGGAGGAAATATACAAATATTTTTTTCTTTCTACCTCACAAATAAAACTAGTAACTATGTATAAAAAAAATTTGTAACACAATCATTCACTTTTAGGGACATTTTCCAAACCTAAAAGCTGCAAATTGTTTGCTGCTTTAGATCTCACAAACCTCTTTGGCATAATGGGTCCAAGAATTCCTGTAAACCATTGGGAATGTTCCGAACCACGTCACATGAGTAGCCATCCTCGGGCAAAAGAAAAGGCAACTGCAAATCAGGATCCTCCTCCAACTGAACTTCGCGTCCATCACTACGTGCCAATTCATCAGCAGTGTTTTCAGCAACAGATACTACATTCTCAATCAGTTCCTGTAAATTAATAAAAATAAGATTGTGCATATTATTGAGATGTTGGCAATTATGTCAGCAGATACAGAATTGTTCATACGTAAAGATATAGTACTATATTCAAAAGGATTACCGTAGGAATATAAGGTTCATCTGGTGCACAGTGGTAATTCGTCAATAAAGCATGCAGCTGCAAGGAGTTCAGTTTAAAGCAAGTATTGTTAATGTTAGGGATATCTTGATGAGAGTACTTGTCCATGGTAAGTAGCGTTGTTGCCTGCAATTTACAAATAAAAATTGAGGAGGAAAACCACATGCACAGTATGGCGACTAAGTACTAAGCAGTTTTGGCCTTGCAGCATTGGTTAACTGGGTTCAATTCCCACTAGGCCTCGATCTGCATGGCGATTGTTTAATTGCCTTGTCTTTGCATCAGATTCCCCTGCTGCTCTAATTACTTTCCTATTGCCTAAAACATAAATGAGTAGCTAACTAGTTCCCACCCAATTTATACCTAGCATGTTTTCTGCTTACACGACCAGAAAAGCAGCATTATGGTGGCGTTCCTGCCTTTAGAGCTTACCTGCACTATCCTGCTAAGGTGGCAGTCAGCAGCAAGCTCCAGGCCCTGTTTTTCAGCCCAAGCCTCTATGTGAGCCAGTTGCTGGCGTATAATTGCACCCCAGTAGTGAGAACATAATCCAGAGTCCGGATCAGTGACTAGTCGGTTAAAAAGCCACATATTGATGAAGTGGAAAAGCTGAGAGAAGAGCTGAATGGTAAGTGCTGCATTCACTCGACAGCGCCGCAGAAGAGACATAGCTCCAGTCAGGGTATGTAGGACATCATCTAGAATTGAAAAAAATATATAATTTATTTTTTTAGATATATATATATATATATATATATATATAAA